CCTCTTCATCCCCCCCGCCCCTAGCAGTAGCCTAAGAGCCGACAATAACGATCATTAAGATGCTCTGTGCAAGGGAGAGCAGTTTGCGAGGCCGTGCATGCTTTGCCAGCCTGTCTGCAATTCAGAGACAGCGCTCCTTGGTAGAAGAGGAGTACCATCGGCAGAGCTGACCTGGGCAGCTCCGGCCGCATAGAACACCCCAGAGGGACCAGCAGTTAGCATAATGGCTATGTCTCTGGACTCCCATGTAGTCGACTGTGGTTCGAGGCCCGGACCCAGGGGCTTAAACTCACTCCTCGCACGTGTGTGTGTGTGTGTGTGTGCCTAAGATCCGGAGAGGAGAATGGAGGAGAAGGGATTGCGGTGTGGCCATCCCCCCTGGGGGGTGATTTCTCGCTTTCTATCTCTCTGTCTCTCTCTGTCTGTCTGGCGAGAGCACGCGCTCTATAGCAAAAACAAAAAAAAGAACACCCCAGAAAAGTGACTGCTTACCTGGGAGTCAGGCTCTCTAATCACAGAAGGAGCCCTCTCTGTACTGCTCAGCTCTGAGGGGACATTCATCAGTCCAGCTGAACCTCAGATACCAGTATCTTGCACCTTAATCGGGGCCAAGATAAACGGAAGGGAAGCACAGAGGAAGCCATGGCGACATGAGAGGTTTGGCGGAGCCAAATCTTCGCTTTCAAGGCAAGAGGAGGGTAGGGGTGTGACAGGCCAAAGGGGAGGGTGGTGGGTAGAAAAGGGAGGACACGCACAGGACCAAGTGGCAGAGGAGAAACCGAGGCCAGGACAGTTCTCAGTACTGTCCAGCCCGAGGCCCCTTTTTATAATATTGGGTCATCAGAAAAGTCATGATGTGTTTTTCTGTGCAAAAAAGGCTCATGCCTTTTCTGACAACCCAGTAATTTGTAATATTTCCTTTACTATTTCAAAGTGAAATTCAGAGAAAATATAACCTATTTTCCTATATGCTACCAAAAAAAAAAAACTATAGGATGCTCCAACTGTAATATCAAGAATTAAGAGGAGAGTGGTTTATATTGCAATAATGGAGCTCTTATTATGTAAATGAGGCATACCACAAGAGAAGACAGGAGGAAGTAGCCAGAAGTTTGTGCTTCACTTGGGGAGAGAACCTTGAACCCTTGGTGGCTGCTGTGTGGAACATCTCATCCCTAAACCCTGCCACCTCGTGATAGGATTCTCTGCAGTAGGGAAGCTGCAGACGCACCTCTCTCACTGTAGCTACAGTTCTAGAAATTGCCATGTACAAGACACACTTTGCATTTCGCTGGAAAACAGTTCAAGGCTGAGGAGGGGATCATGAATTCTAAGCACCTCCGTGTCAGCAGAGCACATGAAGCCATGAGGGACATGGAACTGGTCCTCGTTAGGGACTATCCTGAGAATTTTAGGACTTCAGCTCTTATGACCATGAGAACATCACTGGAGACTTCCAGAACAGCCCCCTAGGGGGTGGTGCAGCCCCGTGGAGAACCACTGGGGAGAAGGGGAGAGAAGGCAGCAGACTCGCAGGCTCAGATCCCATTCCACAAAGTCCTAGCACCTGTGCAGCCCAGGGTAAGTTGTTAAACTATCCCACACTTGTTTTTAACATGGGGAAAGCGTCTTCTCCCTCACAGGATTGCCAAAAGGTTCAGAGGGACAGTGCAGGGCACTGTCCAGGTCATAGTGGACCCTCGGTTAATGCCATTTTCCATGTTCCTAGGACAGCCACATTTATAAAACGCCTCCTGCACCCATGCATCCTGGGCTTTTTCTTCCCTGTGAAGCCTGCCTTCTGAGAGAGGATGTCTGCTCCCTTCCTCCGCAGACAGATGTCCTAGGCACGGTTTAACGGGAACCGTGTCTCCCTTGGGTTCCCCAGGATCCCTCCGTCCTAC